GAACAGTTTTTTTTTCAAATAATTTGAAAACTATTTTTCTTAGAAACTTCAAATTTAGTACACATATTTTTTTAGATAAGGGCAATGTAGAATTTGGTGAGAATACATATACAGGACATTCTCTTTCTAGTGCCTGTGCTCTACTGGCTACCCCGTAACTTTTTTATGTGCACGCCAGTGACGCTAGAATTAAATTATTAAAATTTTAGAATATTTTTAGTCTCTTGCCAATGCCAATTTTATTCGAAATTCATAAAAGATATAAAAATTTTGTAAGAGGCAACAAATATTCTAAAATAGTGCTTATTTTTTAAAATACAAATTCTGGTACCACTGACGTACATACAAAAAAGTTACGGGATAGCCAGTGGCACACAGGCACTAGAAAGATCTGTGTTCTCACCAAATTCTATATATACATTGCCTTTACATAAAAAAAATATGTGTACCAAATTTGAAGTTTCTAAGAAAAATAGTTTTCAAATTATTTGAAAAAACCTAAGTACACATTTGTATACAGGGTGAGTAATGAATAATGGTATACAGCTTAATCGCAGATTGTTAACGTCAAAATATAGTGATTGAGCCAAACATGCCTTAATCAATTGTTGCTCATTTTCGTTCTACAGGGTGTTAAAGTTGAAAAAAATACTTTTTTTTAATCTATATTTTAAGTATGTATGGACCGATTGTTTTGAAAATTTGTAGTTTTACGTTTTTTGAGGTGGCAAATACGAATAGTGTAGTGGTCACGTCTATGGGGAGCTAGTGGTACTGTCCTGTCAATTTAAAAATATGTCTAACTTTTTATATTTTATAATTTTTTAACTAGAAATTCTAAAAAAAGGTAATTGTTACAAATCGATAAACTCTACTAGTGTTTTCGAGATACAGACATTTTAAGTTTTTGAGATTCGACGGGAATTAAATTAGAAAATTAATTTTTCCAAAGTAGTAGGCATGGACATAATAAATTGACAGCTGTCACTGCAATACCATATTGTTTTCTACTCAATTCTATTAAGAAGTAGTTTTTTTCTTGTTATTTTTTAGAGAAGAGAATATCTTAATAAAAGGCTAAGAAAATGCATTGAAGTTGCTGGTAGTTAATAATTTGTTAAGATATGCATAATAAAATCTTTAATTGCTGTAATGTTTGTCTTAATTCTTAATTCAGGCTTGGTATCTTAAGACCTACTAATTTTCTAATTTAATTCCCGCCGAATCTCAAAAACTTGAAACGTCTGTATCTCGAAAACGGTTTAGTTTATCGATTTGTAACTAGTACACCTTTTTTATTTACAATTGAACGTAGTTCAATAATTTGTAGTTAAAAAATTCAAAATTGTAAAATACAAAAAATTAGATAGATTTTTATATTGATAGGACAGTATAACTAGCGCCCTCTAGTCGTTACCCCAACACTGTTTTCATATTCGTATTTGCCTTCTCAAAAAACGTACAACTTCAAATTTTCAAAACAATCGGTCCATACATACTTAAAATATAGATAAAAAAGGAAAATATTTTTTCAATTTTAACACCCTGTAGAACGAAAAGGAGCAATAATTGATTAAGGCATGTTTGGCTCAATCAGTATATTTTACGGATAACAATATGCCATTAAGCTGTGTACCATTGTTAATGACTCACCCTGATAGGTAAGTTAGGCTAGTCTTATTTTCATCCAAGGAACCTGTGGCCAAGCGTCGTCTATTATTTTCAGAGACACCCTGTATAATTTATTATTACCTCCTTTACTTTTACTGTATTTTAAAGGTATTTTTTTCAGACTTGTAAAATCTTGATGTTGGAATATTGCAACATATTTTATATTATCTGGTTTAATCTAAATCTCAGTAGTATCTTTTATTTGGGTAGATCCTTTCGAAATATTAATATTACGTCGCATACACAAATTTATTATTTTTTTAAACTTCTTATGTTTGAAACATGCAGTCTGAATGAAAAGCTTTCCAGAACTGTACAAATTTGTCAAAAATCGTGTTAAGTTAAAATAACAAATTCGTTATTCTCTAAATCCTATACGCGCAAAATGGATATTTTTTTATGAAAACAAAAATTCGCGTCCTTTCAAAGCAATATTCATTGAAGCGTGTTTTAAAAATAACTGATTTATCAGAATTCATGATACCATATTTCACAACAAACGGCATTGTTTAAAAAATTATACGCCATAGTCATTTATTATTCGGAACGAAATCAATTTTTATGTAGATAAATTTTTAATTCTAATTTTTGGCTCGAAAATTTACAACAAAGGTCTTACAAAGCTTTTGTGTTGCGATAAAATACAGAATTAAATTAACATCAGTCCCTTTTTAGTTCAAACGGTTTTATTATGATAAAAATCGAAATGGGAATAATTTACTCGGCCTTATTCAGCGCTTTAGTATCAAATCCATTGGCGTGCAGCACAAGATACAATATAATATGATTTGAACACGGTATGGCGTATGAAATATACAGCGCTGGCCATATCTGCATTACAATGTAGCAGTGGCGGCTCGTGACATTGTGCATAGGTGAGGCCCGTGGCTTTTTTTATTAGGTGGACAAGAAAGAAACTTTTAGCTGCATTTACAATATTATAGAAAAATTGATGTTCACGAGCAGGATTTTCATTCAGATTTTATAAAAAATTATACGCAACTGTTTTTATATTTTATTAATCCTCGTCATTTTTTATTATGGAGATGTTCGCCAATAGCCCTACTATAACCGTAAATTAAAAAAATATATTATTAATAATAATATCAGAACTTTAAAAATTGTATTTATAATAAAATTGTATTTACAATAAAATTAGATAACAGAAAAAAGTATAAAGTATATATTTACCTAATAATTAACATAATTGTTCCTACTTGGTTTATGAATATTAAAAAATATGAAAAAAATATAAAAACAAATTTTCATAAGGTAGCCAGCCAACTTATTTATTTACATATAAAACAATGCCGGCAGCTTTTCGTTTGCCTGCAAAACAATTTGTATGTTTCCGAAAATACCATTTTAAATTCCTTGTATAATATTTCTATCGTTTTTTGAACTTCTGTACAAAATATTAAGGTCGTTTTTCAATCTATATATTTCAAAAACGTTTGAACACATTTGTAATAAATATTCAAACGATTTTTCGGGACATTTCTTTGCATATTTTACAAACCATACTTATCGTATTAACTTCGACGTCACCTGTTACATGGGTGTTATACAATAATGAAAACGTAATATTGACAGTTGGTAGAAGGAAGCACAAAAACAAGCGCTTAGGTGGGGAATTCTGGAAGGAAGCCTGGATAGTTGAAGTGAGAACAGTGTGGAGATAGGTAACAAGACGATCGGCGGGCAGTGTGTCAAAAATAGTGAAAAATTATAAGTGTTTAACCGGTATTAGTTAGCAGGTAATTATTCTTTAAGTACTTTGTTGTTAATATGTAATCTTATGATTGTGATGATTATACATGTTTCATGATAATAATTCTGTATATGTTTAGCATTCATTGTCTTATGCCCAGGGACGTATATTTTTCTAACGTAAAATTGTTACAATTATTTAAAGATTGCTCATTATTTATTACATGTTAAAATATGTATATATTGTCGTGACTGCCCAGATATTGCAATAACAACTCCTTTGTTTCACATTTAACTTGTTTTATCATGATTACGTTGTTCTTGGATTTCTGGTGCTCACTTTATGTCATACGCATATAAGAGCCTTGTTGAATTTACTAACATTTTCGCCCTTGAGGAATGAATCTGTAAAAAGAATAATTAAATACAAAAAAGGAATTGCTAAAACAGTTTTTCCGAAATCTCAACTCATAGCTGGATTGCCTCCCGTATGGGACTCCAGTACCTTACTTATTATTATTGTTGTTGTTATTGTTGTTGTTGTTGTTGTTGTTGTTGTTTTTATTATTATTATTGTTGTTGTTGTTGCTATTATTGTTACTAAAACCTCTTCAGTTTTACTTGGAAGTGTGTATGTCTAATTCGAGTGAGGTGACATTTAGTGACACATTAAATGAGTCAGGTCTTATTTATCATTAGCAAAGGATCTTAATTTATGCCTTTTGTTAGCGGTTGTTTTGTATTTATATTTGGGTAGTTAGAGCAACGATCGTGGGTTTCTCTGCCATGCTCTTTCCCCACAGGAGCTCTAGGTGAGCCTGGCACTCTCATTTTATGTTAAATGGTTGTTAATGTTTTTGTTGTTCTTTCTATTTGTCACATGTTTAATTTGAAGACTGTTGTACGTAAATAATAAAGTTAGGTGTATTTACTCTGCTTTTGTTTTATAAAATTAAACCATACTTCCCCTCTTTAAAGTTAGTAGCCAGCGCCTTCCGGTCAATAAAAAAAAATAGATGTATACAACGTAGGTATTCCTTATGACGATCACATATTTTTGGCCACAACTACGTTTGGTTTATTTTTTCGATCGAACCCGGGGTTGTTATACTACAATATTATTACAGTACGATATTTCAATGGCATAAAAAGCCGAACATCCAATACTGATAATTTTATTTCAATAATTTTTTATCTACACATACGGTAGGTAAGAAATTACTATTAAAATATTTTTTATTTAGATTTGATAGTTTAATTTGTTTGTTTTTGTCTCTTTTCTAGCTTAAGAAATCATACGATGTATGTGCGACACGAGGAGTGGTGTGACGTCAGAACATGTATTTTTCCTCGCTTGGGTTCCATTAAATATTTTGAGGGAGAAATTCTTCACTTTTTGCACATTAAATAATTATTATTTAGGTACACTTTCTGAATATGACTTAAAACAACGTATGCTAAATAAACCCATTACATGCGACACTCATTTTGCCGTGGTAAACGACTTAGCGTTAAACGTTCGTGTGCGCTGCCCCTTACACTTCCATTGGGAAAAAATCATTCAGTCCGGCAACATAATGAACTCTAAATCTTTTTATATCTGATCCAATATCACTGACCTGCCCTGAGAGCGTCCATCGGCACCGAAGGATATGGAATGGAATAAGGATAACCCTCTTTCCTCAAGGTTTTCGGCTTGCGTCGTGGCCTGTATTTGTAGTCTGGATGTTCTTTCATATGCAGGGCCCTCAGCCGCTTCGCCTCGTCGATGAAAGGCCTCTTCTCGTCTTCCGTCAGCAGCTTCCACTCTGCACCTGAAATCAGTTTCATTTTCAGAGATATTATCGCGGATGGATACTTATTTTTGAGTTTAAGGGTGTGCGTGCGTAGGAAAGGTTTTCATGTAGCAATTTCTAAAAAAAAGGTTAAACTTTATATTTGGGGTTTAAATCCAATGCACTAATCTGCCATATTAGAAGTTTCCAGTCAAAATTGGTTATTCAGAATACAACTGACAGCAAAATTATTCAAACGACATTCAGGATGTTCTGAAAGTCCGTCAAGAAACTCCGGGAGGTGATTATACGGATTAAAATAGTAACAGTATGTAATGATTTTTTTTTTCGAATTGTCAATTGTTTGCAAGTTACAGTTTGCCAAACTTAATTTTTGGTTATATTTCTATCTAAAAAACTCATTTAATTCAAGTTTGATTAGTCTCTCATTTGGCACACCCACTAAGTAGATGAAGCTCTATTGGACCAATAAAAGAAAAGTTTCATTATGCGCCGCTAGGAAGCACTTTACCTACAACTCAAAATTTGTTTTGTTCATAACTTTTTTACATTGAAGAGAAAAATAATATCAGAAAAAATTATGTACTCTTAATTCGAGTCGATAAATGTAACCGTTCAGCAGAAAATCGCTATTAATCGCTATTAAAGTGTTATTAAACATAAAATTTTTGATAATTCTTTCTGTAATTAATCAAGTCATAAAATATTCAAAAGTAAGTATCGCTCTGTAGTAAAATTACAATGTGAATTGTCAATAAGTACCTGTATAAAGGCCAGATGGGTCTTTCAAATAAAAGTTTCACCAAATCAATATATTTACATTTTAAAATTATTTTTTCTAAGTGCTATCTGCCTTCATCTTGACGTTGGAATTGTTTAAAACCGGTGATGTAACGCTAGACGTTAGGTTATTATGTAGAATGTAACATTTTCAAAGTGTAATAATTGTTCGGTGGCGACCGCTGGGCGCAGAGGTAGTTCGATCGGAGTGATCTTTCTCCATCGAATAGAAGAGGTATTACTCCAGTCGAATTACATCGTAACACGTGAAAACATGAAAAAATTATTAGTAGACATTTTAATGCACTTTATGACGCGGAAGTGTATGTAGAATGATAATATCAAGAAAGTAATTCGAAAGAAGTGATGCAAAGTTGACAAATTGCAAATAAGTAGCAAATTTACGTGTTTTTTCACGTTTTTTACTGCCCTCGAAAGACGACTTATCGGAAAATGGGTCATATTATGTTGTAGGAAATTAATTTACCTACAATTTAAGGTATTTAAAATCATATTTCACAAAACAGTTAACAAATATGACTTTAGTTACCTTAAATTGTAGGCAATTTAATTGCCTACATGTTGTAGGAATAATTTTCCGATAGGTTATCTAGAAGACAGTAAAAAAGTGAAAAACACGTAAATTTGCCACTTATTTGCCAACTTCTTACGAGTTACTTTTTTGATATTATCATTCTACATACCCTTTCTCATCATAAAGTGCAATAAAATGTCTTGTATAATCTTTTCACATTCAAACTCTAATTCGAATGGAGTTTATGGACATTTCATGCTACGGTGCAGGTAATGCGGACGAAAATGACGAATCTCTACATAATAACTATTTTTATTAGACACTGTCAATGTTTAAGTGCACTATAGGATTTTGGGGTAAAAACTAACTTTTGTAAGGGATGAATTTGTGTGTAGGAGCGACAAACGCAAAAAGGAAAAATATGTAACAATGATTAGGTTAGGTTCTGGGATTAGATGGTGGAAATATATACAGGGCGATATCTGCAACGTTTTCGAGCTATAAAGCGATATCTAATTTTTGGCAAAATTATCTTAAACCTATACTCCCTTTTTAAAATAGAGACATGAAAAAACCTATCTTTTGCTTACTCAATACATTTGAAATAAAAAAATAATAATTATGGCCGAATAACTTCTAAGTTTTGGTTCATTACTATTTTAAATGAAACCCTCTGTTAAATTTGATAGGTTAATAAGGTTGACAAGGTATTTTTACTGTTTCACTAATAGCAATATCATGCTTTCAACAGTGCCTGATTTACCTATAGGCTGGTGTAGGCTGCAGACTACAGGCCCCCACCAACTAGGAGCCCCCACCATGTTAACAACAATTTTTTTAAAGATTTTTTTTAAAACCTCCCATCAGGAACAAGAAAGAAAAATTATTCTGAAGAATATAATTTTTTTATTCTTAAAATTGGAATAGGCCCCCACCAATTTTCAGCCTACAGGCCCCCACCACTGTAAATTAGGCACTGGCTTTTAATAATCCAAAATAATAAAAATAATATTTTAAAATCAAATCGATTGAATCAGACTGCTTAATTGGCTGGCTACTTTTTTTAAATAGGACCTATATGAAAACTGCTCTACTATTACTACTGAGTTAATCTAACAATTCTATATACCTTTTGTAGACTACAGCCATAGAAACGAAAGAATATTGCTCAACGAAGAAAATAAAAGATTAGCCGTTGCAAAAAAAATTGAGTTGCAATTGATTAATATTCCCCTGTTGTAGTTTTCACTGTGACTTTACTAATATATTACTTTATACTAATTTATCTATAATTTTTATCTGCTTCAAATTACATTCTTAACTATATTACAATTGCATTAATAGCACAGTTAGATAGATATTGTTACTAAATAGCAATAAAATTGTGCTCTAAACAAGTTAGGTTACTTCCAAAAAATTCTAAACACTTATTGGAAAACATTTTCCTTTGGTATATTACACTGAAGCTGTTCAGAAATCTACCGCATTATGCCCGGATCCGAATTGAGCGAAATTGCAAATAGAAAAAAAATCAATTTTGATTTAATTTCCTGTAAACATCGGAGCGTTCTTCTTTTGTTGCGCATATACAGTCACCTGTTTCGCCATTGGTGGAACAATGGGGCGACCGATTGGTTCCTCCAATAGAGATGCTGTATTACATTACGCCGGTTTTTGTTGTGTGTTTTGTCATTTTGTGTCTAGAACTTTGTAAAGCGCCACTGTGCTACCCTTTGTGTTTGCCTCCTGAAGCGAGATAAGAATTAATTACAAGCCATGATGGCCCATTGTTCACTTTCTCATTCCCATTTTCACTCAAAAGATAATTTAATGCTCCTTCCTTTCAGAATCTCGCAGGTTTTTTTCTTTATATTGAGCCAGCGCTTTGTTTTACTATCTGGATACAATCAATCAATTCTACCGTCCTATCGAATTCAGGAAGCACGAAAATGAACAAAACTTTAAGGGAAAATTGGGGAGTGATACATTTGACGCTGTTTTCAGGTTTCATATACAAGGTATTTCATAATATGTGAGCTTAGAGTGCTTCGTTTGAAAATGAAGGGAAACTTTAACAAAGTTACATTTAATTTTAGTGTAGAATGCGAATACGTTAAAAAATTAGGGGTTTCCCTAATTAGGTTTAAAAATTTCGAGTTTTCCACATTTTCTGAACTTCATATTCGATAAATTTTTTTGACCACCCTGTATAAAAACTGGAAAATTTTCATGTCAAATTCGACAAATTAGGTCTTCCTCTACAAAATGTCCAATTTGCACAAAAAAATAAACTTGTGTTTCCGGGAAAACTAAAAACTTCAATGTTTTAGATGGTTGCAGATATATTTATAAAGAACCTGTCTAATTTAAATGACACATCCTCTAGTTTCTAATATTTCTTAGTATGCTTGACCAATGATGGAGTTGAAAGTGTGTTAGACACTGTTATTAACACGGTTAAATATATATTTAATTATATTGTCCTCGACAGTGACATAATGTGGCACAATGAATACAATTAATTTTAAACTCACGTGGAAAAATTCCCTATAAACAAGTCACTATATTATTGTAGTGCATAAGAATATAGTGCATAGTTACAAAAAACATTTTAAAGTTTTCGGGAGTGGAGTGTTAATTTAAAGAGGTTATAGCTGATGTTAAAATAGTCTATTTCACAAAAAAAACTCTAATCAAACCTTTATAATAGATATATTTACATTTGAAATTAATGAGATCTGTAATGCCGTTTCCGTAATTATTAATCATACATTGGACTACCAGATGGAAACAAATCAGTACTTGTTGTCAGTTAGTTGTCGTTCTTTGATGTTTTAATAAATGCGTTTGTTATAAGTTTCGGCTCGAATTTTTGGTGGGTTGGTGTTACTTTAGGTGTTCACGTAAACTTGCTGGAGACGTTATTGTTAGTGTTTTTGACTTCTTTAATTAGTATTCATAAATATTTTTAGGTCGATCATCAAGACCATGATAATGAGTACAGTACAGACAAGCGACGAGTGATGTGCTACGATATAGTTCTCCTAATTTGTGTTGTTAAATGTTCCATTTCCTAAGAAAAGTGAAACAGTTGTAACATTTTATTCGCCACAACCTTACTGCTTGTTGTGAAATACCATTTTTGATTTGGTAAAGGCTGTCAATTTTTATAATGTCTGAAGTTTGTAATTTATGTACAATTCCTTTAACCAAGAAATCGCCTGGAATACGCTGCGATGGTTCTTGTGGCCTTTTTTACCATCTGAAGTGTGTAAATATCACAGTGGACCAGTTAAACGTTCTGAAGGCTATTCCTAACACCACATGGAAATGTACTAACTGCCAGACCACTTCATCTTTGAACACTGTTGCTGATCCAGGTGAATCTTTAAACAATCAGAATTTGTTGTCATTTATGATGGATATTAAAAATAATTTGAATGATATGAAGATTAGACAAGACGAACTTATAGTATCTGTTTCTTTTTGTTCTGATAAAGTCTCCGACTTTGAACACGCACTATCAAGTATTAACAATCACATAAAAACGATTGAAGAACTAAAACAAGACAATGTGCAACTAAAGGAAGAAATAAAGTCTCTGAACTCTCGTATTAATGATTTAGATCAACATACTAGACTTAATAATTTGGAAATACAAGGTGTTCCTGAAAAACGGAATGAGAATTTACTCGGCGTTATT